AAAAAATGGTATCGCCCAAAGGCGGCAGATTCACTAGGGCCCCAACATCCCTTAAAGTAATAGACATGGGGCCAAGAGGGAAAACAAAAGTATTATATTCAGAAGAACAAAAACTTAAACCGATCGAAAAAAGTGCTGAATCAAAAGTAGGGGGTTGAAGAGAGATTTCTAACAAATCAGAAATCCTAGCATTATCAAAAAGTGCCTTAGTAGGACCATGGTCCACAAGGCGAGCATGCCACCTATGAAAAACTACATCAAATTTAGGCCAAGTGCAAATACCTCTTTCGCGAAGTGGCCCCAGCGGCAGAGAGTTTAGAAATGGAGGGCCTTGAGTACGAGGAAATAGCTGGCCCACCGTCGCTTGTTCGACTGCCTCTGCATTATTGAAGAAAGGACCTAGGTAGAACTCATTGAGTTCGACATTGGCAGGTGCGAGAAAGTTCGGAGTTATGTATGGACGATTAAGGAGTTTCTGAAAGTCATCAAAACTAAAGGAGTCGCCAGATTGAGATTGTGAAGTAACCATTAGGGATGAAAAGGAGATTTTCAGAGTTACGTAGCAGGGAAGCAAAGAGATGAATAGTAAATTGTGGGAGAGAAACGCAAAAAAGTGAGGCGTGATTTAATGGTGTAGTGAAATGGCGTATTTGGGGGTTATAAGGGTTTGCAAAACGTCGCACCTTTTCAAGCTATGGAAGAAAACAATGATTGAAATTCTTGGGAATTTCGAATGTTGCTGGAAACACAAGGTGAATATGACAAAATTTAATAATCGGTGTTAATTCTGCCATATTGGGGGGGGGTAATTGTTGACACATAAAAATTCAGCCCAAATCGAACGGCCCAAGGAATGAAGCCCAATTGGAGGATCCCCAAATCAGATAGCCCAAAGAACAAAGCCCAATCAGACAATTTAGGATGAAGGCCCAAATAGGGAGGCCCATGAGCACGTAACACCATCGCCCAAGCTTGCAAGTCGCCCAGGATCTGAGCGAATGGAGTGCCATGCAGTCGCCCAGAGCTGCTGTTCTATTCTCGCCCAAACCTTCGAATCGCCCGCCCCAAGGTCTTAACAAACATGAAGTATTGTGGTTATCAAGAAGCACAGTTATCAAAGCAGTTATTAAGCAGCCCTATCACGTTCCACAATTCAAGGAATTCAATTGAAGATGGTTGAACGACAAAGAGTAATGGCAGCAGTTAGAAAAGGCAGTTCCATGACAAGTCGGCCATTACGAGGAAAGTGGGCAGTCATAGAACGATCAAGCAGTTTTTAGGCGGTTGATCACAAAGAGATCATCCAAGGAGTATAAAAGGGAGAAAAGACAGAGCAAAACACCCCGAATCAAAAACTCTCGAACAGAGAACATGTAATTTTAAATTTCTTAGTTTAGATTTAAACACTTCTTTCAGTAACTCGTGTGCTTGCGTCCCTTGGAGGTATTCTATTTTTAATTTCCAATTGTAAAGTCATCGCCAATAAAAAACACCCATTTTTGGGACTTTATCTCAAGAGGTTTGTCCCTTACACAATCGTCTTATCTCTTTTAATTGTTAGCGACGAACACGCGCGAAACAATTATACTATCACTTTGTTTGGGCTACATTTTTTAAATAATGTATTTTGTCCTTTCTATTTTTCAACCATACATTTCTCACTACAAGAAAAATGATATTTTACAACTAATGTTTCAACAGCCACATCAATTTGGTCGTTAAAAACTCTTTTCAACAACTAAATTATAAGTTTGGTCGTAGCAATGAATGATGAACAATAGAATTTTAAATTATTTGAAAATATCTTATAACGACCAAAAAAATAGTTGTTAATTTTATATTTTCAACGACCAAATAAAAATTGGTCATTGTGAATGGAAGCTAAATAAAAAATTCCTGCTAAAATATCAGTGCATATTCAACGACAACAAAATTTGTTATTAGAAACACATATAATATTGTAAATATTCAACAACAATAATTTCGTTGTATTCAATGACTATTTATTTAGTGGCCGTTAAAGGTGACATGCAGCGACCAATTATTTTTAGTCGTTAAAGGTTTATGGCAGCCTATTTACCAAATCTAATTTGGCGTCAAAATAGTTTTCGACATTCAACGACTAGTACTACATAGTCGTTAAAAGTAACATTCAAGAACCGTTTATGTTTAGTCGTTGAATGTTTATGACAATGTGGTTAATAACTCTAATTTGGCGTCAAAATAGTTTTCGACATTCAATGGCTATATTATTGGTCATTAAGAATGACTATGAAAGGAAAAAATTGTTCTAATTGTTTAAATTTTTTTTAACTAAGGTAATTAACTATAAGCATAATCTTTATTGTCAAAAGTATTAAAATAATTTCAAGTTCACTATGTCCTTCTATATCTATGTATTTCGGGTCCTCCATCTTATTTAAATAAAAAATAAAATAAACGAGATGGGTGCACTGAACCCATCCTGCTCCGAACTTAACCGGCCACATGGGGAACATGGAATAAAATGTTGGGAATCTACTTAACATGCATAGCGAAAAATTAAAACATATTTCGATTCCCGCCATGATTCATATTTGTGTTTAGATAGAAATTGTGATAAAAGTGATACATTTTTATGATCTGCAAACTCCCTTGCCTCGTCTTTGTTCCAGCAACTTGGATCTGTCTTCCACAACTGTCCAATTATCCAACCTCCAACGGTGATCCGCACAGAGAACAAGATTGTAGTATTATGATTTTTCTTGTGCTAGTAAGAATAATGAAAAATCTCTACAATTTTGAAAACTCTAATCATATTTATATAAGCTCAAACGGGCTTAGCCTGACCCGATCCAACATTTAATTAACCAGTTTAATTAAATTCGGTCCGTGAATTAATTAATCCAATTAATCAATTTAGGCCTATAAATAAGCAACCCAATTAATTAATTTATCCAACACTTGTTAAATTAATTAATTGACAAATTACAATCTTCCAGTTCTCCTTTTGTGTGCGACCCATTAGGTTTCCGATCATGATGCTTAACGACATGAAATATTATTTTGATCTAATGAAAATTGATAAATTAAAACACCCTTTTAATTTATCACCTATCACACTCGCCGTCCCAAATTGACATCTAGCAATGTGTCAGAGCAATACATGTGATGGAAAATGTCACGTGGTATGACAAAACCAAACTCGTTCGTTTGCCATGAAACTATAATCCCTTCGTTAATATGATCCGATCAATTATGAGATATGAAAATGTGTCAATCTCGATTATCCATCATATCTTTCACTCCACTATTAAGTCAATATAAGTCAAAAACTCCTTTTTGACTTATGAGTACACCTTGGCCAAGGATTTCGTTATCGATTTAATTAAATGAAACGCGGATCATAATCTCTTACTATCTAAGAGTGACAAATCCTCTATTAGTCATTCACAACCTTCATATGATTCTTAACATACCCGAACGATACCGTATTAGCGGTCATTGGCAGAGTAACATCCAACACTGTCAAAGCATGACCGTCATCATATAAGGTACTATGACGATCTCAAGTCAAAAGGACCAATCCCACTACCGAACGTTAGAGATTAACCACTGACACTCAGATAGTTATCCATGTGGAATCTTTCGACGGGTCTCCAATGTTTTGTTCTATAACAAAATATCCACGTGTTCATTTAAGTATCACCACACTTTAACTTGTGAGATCAGCTACTTACTTCACAAGTAAGAAATGTCACATGTGATGGTCTATCTGTAATAATGATATACGTATCTCGTTATTACTTATGACCATGGACGATTTAAGATTCAATCATATGTAATTTGTATCTCACAATCACAACTTCTTGTGATTAACAAATTACGAAGATTTGAATCTACGGACTCTATTATTTAATTTAATTGTCTATTAATTAAATAATAGATCTGCCATTAAATTGCATTAATTATATATCAAAAGTATTTATGTCCAAAGTTGATTGGATTTAGGGCATAACACTTACATAAAATTCTTGAAAGGACGGTGCACAGAATGGTCGAGTGGCATCGAAAATTTTCCATTATACTTCGAGTACTTCGTATATGGAACCATTTTATTACACGTAATTACTAGAACCATACTTGAACTTGAATCATTTGAGTTCGATTCTAAGTAATATATGATTCAATTATTTAAATGAACAAAAGTGACGTATTTCAAGAAAGTGAATTGTCCCTAAAAAAATTCAATTATCGATATTAACATGATGAATAGATTAACTTAATGAATTTATTTGTGCTATAATAAGTAATCATTAATTTAAAATAATTTTTTAGTGTATAAATAATAATTTAAAATATTTTTCCAATAATAATCATAAATTATCACATAAAAAAGTGTTATGTTACTTTAATCAAAATCAAATATGCATTTATTAATAATTTAATCAAATTAAATAATAAAAAATAATTATATATTAATTTCAAACATTTTCCCCCTCCTCAAAATTTCAACCCCGCTTAAAAATTTCACAACATTCTAATTTTTTTTTAACTTTTCCCTCTCTTTTGCTTTGCTTTCATCTTCTTGTTCTTTACCTCAATTCCTCTTCTCTTGTACTACGAAATAAAATCAAACCCTAGACCTTTCATTCTACTCACCTCTATTTCTCCTCTCTCACGGCGGCAATAAATCCTAAGCCATTCAACCCCTTCGTTTTCCTTTCTTTGGTATGTATCTTAGATGTCTTGTGAAAATTGAAAAGGAGATGGGTGATGTTGAAGGTATTTTCTTTTTTCATATGCAATTTAGAGTGTGTTTGATTGACATGGAAAATATTATCTAGAAAAAAAATATTTTCCATCTTTTGTGGAAAATAAAAACTAACTCTACCCAAGGAAAATATTTTCTTTAAAAACGAGGAAAATTAGGCATATTTTCAAAAGTTGGAAAATGTTTTCCATGGAAAAAAAATAGCAATCAAACATTTCAAATAGGAATTTAGGTGAAAAACTGATATTTTCCATGAAAAATAAATGTAATCAAACACAACCTTATTGATTTCCTTTTTAATTGAAAATCTTGCTATGAGGTTCCTTGCTTTTTCATCTCCGTCTAAAGGAGATGGGTGATGTTGAAGGTATTTCCTTTTTCATTTTCATTATAAGTATACATTTGTGGAATTTACTAATTGATTTCTTTTTTAATTGAAAATCTTGCCCTTGAGTTCCCTTCTTTTTCATCTCCATTTAAATTGTGTCTTTAGTCTCAATGGTAGCAGGCTGTTGCCTCTGCAGACGTATGCAGGCGATTGCCCCCATTTCATTTGGACAATGTTGTTTAAGTTTAAAGTCGATTAAGGTACAATCACCCCAAGAAAGGAATGAGGCATTTTTGTACTTTTTGTAAGGGCCTTTTTAGTTTTTGATTCTAATTTTCATCTAAACTGATAATTTGTTTCTAACTTTTTGTCTCGTCCGTGGTGTAGGTTCCATCATTTCCGGATGATGTGGCTATGGCTCTTCCTGAAGAGGAGTTTGGACAACAATGGTATAACATCTACTCTGAACTTTTTTCCTCCCTCAATGACCATTGACTTTTGGCTGCCATTTATATAGCGTCATTTGCTGCAAACATGCATTATTTTTTTCACTTTCACAGCTTCTTAATACTTTGTGTCTCTGAATTTGTCTTGTATGTGAAGCTCATGTTGGAATATTAAGATTCTTTCCTCCAATTTGTATTCTTTCCTTTCCCAATACCATTGAAACTCTACAGCAATTGTGGGTAGCTTAATTAGACAAATAGCTTCATTATAGGAACATATTACTTGATTGTTGGAACTGTAGCTTAATTGTGGGGTCGAGATTATTGTTCTACAGCTATATATATGTACCTGTATATCTCCATTGAATGTAAGAATAAGAAAAATTCTTCCCTTTATTGATTTCAAGTTGGTATCAGAGCCAATATTTCTAAATTTTGCTGAAGAACTGATCCCATCAGATTCTTTGACAAAGAAATTGCTGGGATCAGAAAAATTGACGATAGAGGAAAACTCTACAACCGGAACCGAATTCTTTATTTCGTCTTCTAAATCCAAATTCTTTATTACCTCTGCTAAACTTCTGAACACAATCTGTTTACCATCAGATTCTGCCTTCAAACCTGCGTACAATCTCCTTCCAAACCACAACACTCACAATTAACCATTTGGTCCACCATGAATAAGACAGACTGTGAAGCATCTGGTAACAAGCTTGCTCCCATTATTATTCAATCCGAAGGCTCCTCTTTCAATGCAGGGATTTTACTCAATGAGACAAACTATGATATGTGGTCCCAAATCATGGAAATGCATATTGCAGAAAAGGAGAAACTCTCCTTCATTCGTGGAAATTCACAGGTACCTACAGAGAAAGATGATGGATACGAGAAGTCGTATGCGGAACATCCTTGATGTATGCTGTGAAGTATAGAGGGCGATTGTGCTTCATATCACCCAAGAGTAGGTCTTCTTTAGTGAATAATCAAAAGGTCAAGAGATAGTTGTTGATGTCTATGTCTCCAGAAATTATGAAGCGATATCTTCGTTCGTGATATTTGGAAAGCTCTCTCTAAAGCCTTTTATGATGGAACGGATGAGTTGCAAGTTTTTGCCTTGAATCAAAAAGCTTTCTCTGCCAAACAAAGAGGCAGAGCACTTTCAGTGTATTATGGAGAATTGACTGAAATTTTTGGCGAGTTGGATCATCGTGATAAGGTGATCATGGAGTGTGAGAAAGATGTTGAATCTTATCGAAAACTAGTCCAGCAGCAAAGGGTACATATCTTTCTTGCAGGATTAGTTAGTGATTTTGAACAAATTCATGGTGAAATTTTGAGGAAGGAACCGATCCCTGAACTAGAAGAATGTTACGCATTGATCCGTCGTGAGTCCATTTGATGTACAATGATGAATAGAGAACCTGAAAACTTTGAAACTTCAGCCATGGTGGCCCAAAATCGTTCTTTCAAAAACCAGCAAACAGGGTCGAGCCATCAGAAGAATAATGCCGACAAATTTGCTTATAAATGCACTCGCTGTAATCAAACTTGTCATACCGAAACTAGATGCTTTGAACTTGTGGGGTATCCAGAATGATGGGATCATAGCCGCGATCCATGAAAGAGGAATTCCAAGAAATCCTCTACTGCTGCAGTTGTTGAAACACAAGTAGTGGATGATATTGCTGGCAAGGCCTCGACATTGGCAGTAGCAGGAAATGATGGTGGTAAGTTTTTAAATACGTCTACACCTGTTTCTAATAGTGCATGGATAATTGATTTCGGTGCTACCGATCATGACATTTGATTCTAGTCAAGTCTCACTAGTTAAACCATCATCACAAAAATTTGTTTCCACTGCTAATGGCACTTCAACTCCTGTTAATGGAGAAGGATCATT